TTGGTAAGCCTTGCTTTCACTGCATACGCTCGTTATTATGGCAATCATTGGTTAGGCTTGGTAAGCTTTGTACTCAATAAAAGGGCTTGGCTTAGTAAGACATTGCCTTAATAATAGGGCTACCCTTGGTAAGCTTTGTAATCACTGCATACCCTCGTTACTATGGTAACCATTGTGTAGGCTTGGTAAGGCTTAGCTAGCCTTGGTAAGGCATTTCCGCCATTGTGGGGCCAACCGCACCTGAGATAAGGGTGTATGCTTGGTAAGGCATCGCCCCAATAATAGGGCTACCCTTGGTAAGCTTTGTACTCAATAAAAGGGATTACCCTTGGTAAGCCTTGTACTTAATAAATGGGCTCGGCTTGGTAAGGCTTGGTAAGGCATTGCCGCCATTGTGGGGCGTACCGCACCTAATGTTATCTCTATGGCAACCTATGTTATTCTATGGTATGTCCAACCGCAACAATGTCCAGTGGCACGTTTACTACTACAACCAATTCTTAATCTTACATTACAAAAAACTATTATAAATCATATGATTCTGTAATAAGCATATAAGATTCAAATATATTTAGGCCAAAATCCTATTACTTAATGTTAAGTATATGTAAAAGTATATGTAGTTTGTAAAGTTACAAAACAAAAATTACATTTCTGTTAAAGGTTATATAAATATTAGATCAATATAGATTAATATACAATTATTATTTATTTATTTATCAATAATTAATTAATATTACTTTTGTATTAACATAAATAATTAAAACAATATTAATTTATTATAATTGTTAATTACTGGTAATAATCAATGATTATTAATCATGTAAATGTTTTATTGTTAGACAGTAAATACATAACTAAATAAAATTTCAAAAATAATAACAATTTATATTTATTACAAAAATCAAAACATAACAATAAATTTACTTTTTGAAACCCCAGATATTGTTGGGTGAATCTATTGGCCAACTTATAAACTCCGGTGATTTCATGTATGCCTTAATCGCCGGTAAACTTTCAAAACGAGTTAAGAATTGAATTAAATTCGAGTACTTATCGACAGTACCGGCGCTGAAGAGTCGGAACCAATCGAGCAGTTCGTACGCCAAGAAGTCTACATAATTAATGTGATTACCGGTAAACCACTGACGGGTACCCAAAAACCGGGACAACGCGTCCAACTGTTTGGGCAATGTATTGGCGGTGTATTTGAATTTTTCGCTCACGTATTCATTATTAAACAACAAGTCTATCTCATAGCCGGCGCCCGGATATAATACTCCCCAAAAACCAATTCTAATATCAGTCAACTGTTGCTCCAACACATCCTGGCGTACGAGTCCGGTCTCGTCGGTGGCCACCAGTCCGTGCTTTCGGGCCAAGTGTCGCATAATAGCCATACTATGTGTCAGTTTGATAGAGCCCTCCACATAGTAGGGAACATCGGGAAAGTCAAAGCCCAGG